CCCCCGAGGAGTGTTTTATGGGTTTTTTTTGGAGATTGATAGGTGAGTAGGTCGGGGGGCAGACCCGCAGCGGGCCCCGGGGCCGGTGGCGGGGGGGGGGGGAATTCTGGGAGTTGAAGTCCACACATCTTAAAATCACCAAGGTTGAAAAACACTGCTCTAATGCTTTGGGATGGTTCAACATAGCACTATGGAGCTTGGGTAGAAGAAAATTGCCACAGACCAGATAGGGAGGTCTAAAACAAATCTTGGAAGAAGCAGTAACCAACCATTCACATATTGCTCCAAAAAAATAGCATGACCATGGTTTGGAAGTCACCCGGTATCCAGCCTGCCTTAAGGGAGTCTTGACCTTTTCATAGGACAAGAATAAAACCCGTGAAGACGCTGGTGGGTTTGGGTGTTCGGACTCCTCTTTCAGGACCTTCCATCAGATCCCATCCCTCCACTCTTTGGGGCAGGGGCTGATTTGCCGAATCCCCTTCACCCGGTCAGTTCAAGACCTCATGGCTTCCTTCCCACAACACATCCAGCTGGCTAAGGTTAGCCTTGGATAGCTGTTTGGGGATGTGTTGTCTGAACCCAGCCCTTGGGGTTAATAACTATAGTTGTTTTAAATATTTTTTAAATGTTTAAATACTTTTAAATATTTTAAATTTTAAATTTAATTTTAATATGTGTAATATCTGAATATTCTTTAATTTTTAATATGTTCTTAATCATTATAATTAATAATGATGAAATAAATAATGATTTCTTGGACATGTCCAGAAAATGGGCGAGGTCACTCACCTACGAAAGCAGGCTGTGAACATTCACTTTCTATAGCCTTCCCTGCCCGGTATCCTCCAACCTTTGGGGAATACCGTTTCCAGAATTGCTCATCAATATGGCCTGGAAGGCGGGATGACCCTTCCTCCCTTGTGAAAAGAGGCTTTTCGTTGCAGCATCACCGAACTACAATTCCCAGCATCCTTTGGGTTTGTTCTGAATCCCCCAAGTATCAACTCTGACCCTTTTAAACACAGCCAGTTACGAAGGATGCGTCCCCATCGTACCCCAAGCACAGGGCGTTGTTACCTGCTTGGACATGGAGTCGATGAGTCGCACGTAGAGATCTTGCTCGGTTCGAAGTCCTGTGAAAAAGCAGAGAGGGGAATTTGGAGAGACTTCAGGGGAAAAACGGTGGGGGAAATAATTCTACGGTTCTGTTTTCCCTGCAGATAACTTTCCCTCCAGGGAGCTGAGTGGTGTCATACACCTCAGGATGTCATTTGCACAATGACATCATGGCCCAAGTGACATCATCGTGGCTTCTTACAGATGCCTACGCTTCCCTCCAGACTAAACTGGTGGCGTACAGATGTTATAGATGGAGAAGAAATCCCGCTTTAACTACAGCTAACCCATCTTGCGTTTCCTATGTATGAGTCAAGTTTTTCTGATGCGGTTTACAACTTTAAAAAAGTACAGAAAAATACATATGTTAATGTGCACGCAACAATCCATCGCCCTGTGACTTTTAGTGCAGATACACCAATGGTTGCAATGATTTTTTTTTTTTAGATTGCCAAGGGACGCAAGAATGGAAGGAGAAATTTAGGTTTTCAGAAGCTGAACAAAATGGATGGAACAGTTCACCGAATCCTACCTCTACTCTAAAACTTTGCACTGGTTTTATGCAGCTTCAACGGCCATTCTGGAATCACAATTCCTGGTGTCCCAAAACAGTTTGCAGAATTCCTAGGAATGTGCGAAGAAGGAGGGGAGGCCCATTACGTGACTTTGAGAGTCGGGGTCTTTCCTCAAATTGGTCTGATATTTCAAACCAGGTGTGAATCCAATTTGGAGGGGAATACCTTCTGATTAATAAATAAGCAGAGCAAAGTAACGGCAGAAAAGAGGAGTGAGCTTCTGCCCCCCCTCGTGTCCCCCCTCCCCACTTATTGGTGTCGCAGTGGAGAAGGTCCAATCTGGGCTTCCATTTGTCCATTCCATGGACTTCATGAGCTCACCCTCCAGGATCTGAATTTTGCAAATCTCAGAAGGTGTTGGGCTGCAAATGAAACTGCCCTTGTTCCTATTTTTCACCAAAAAAAACCTGTTTCCTCTAAGCAGCTCAAGACAATCATCCCCTGTTTTTATGCTCACAATAACCCTGCAAGGTAGGCTGAGTTATGAAGTCCCCTCAGGGAGCCTCCATGGCATTTGGCCATCTGTCTCCCTGGCCTCTGTCTTTTTCAAACCTGGCCACTTTTAGATGTGTGGACTTCAACTCCCAGAAATCCCCAGCTAGAATTTCTGGCTGTGGAATTCTGGGAGTTGAAGTCCACACTTCTTAAAGCGGCCACGTTCGAAAAACATTGGTCTAAAAGCTTAACGCAGCACTGAAAGTGTGCTATCACTCTGCACCCAGCCGTTCCTTTTTAGGAAGACGACTGACCTGTGAAGCGCAGCCAAGGTGATGCTTGCAATGAGGCTCGTAACGAAGATGCACGCTGCTTCGCAAACATAGTCCTGACTGCTGGGAGGAAGGCTCTTAAACTTAGATTAAGAAATGCTCCCCACCATTTAAGATCCCCCCGGGCTACCTTCTTCCAGTTTCTCAAGGGGGGAACAGCCCCTTACAACACGGATGCTTTAGACACGCTCTACCTCCGAACCAACTTGCAAGAAGTCCAGGGCGTGGTTGAAGCAGCAGGCCAAAAGTGCTGACCTCCAGCCCTGTCCCCCCACAATGTGGGGTGGGGGGGGCCTGCCCTTTCCTCAGCCACTGACCAAGAAACCTTGCAAGCTTCTGGAGCCCCCCCCCAATCTCTACCACACCTATTCGGCTGCAGGTGGAGGGTCAACGCGAAAGCTTGGTGGGCGAACGCATCTCGGCAGCCTCCCCCTTCCCCGTTGCCTTCACGGAAGGCAGCAGGGCTCGACCACAGCCGCACACGTGTGGAAGCGCGATTCTGGCATGCTGTGTTTGCGTGGTCCTTACCGTTACTGTATAGCAGCTGCAGCCGGTAGTGAATGCCGTTGTTGGTTTTCTCCCCGTTCTGCTCCTGCCAGAAGGAAAGGAGAAATAAAAGCTGCATGCTGGAAATCTTCAGCCTGGTGTTTCTCAAGGGCGTGCTCCACCAGGAATGGTGGGCAAGCAGAAGATACCTTTCTTGAGAGCAGTGTTTCTCAATCTTGGCAACTTTAAGACTTGTGGACTTCAACTCCCAGAATTCCCAAGCCAGCCGGCTGTGGAGTTAAAGTCCACAGG